TAGAATGTTTCAAGAAAAATGAATGCTGTCATTAATTTCAAATTAGTAGACTTCTAAGTGTTTTTATGACTAACTTAAATCTTCATAGACCTTTCTAACTTTCTATAAAAACTAAATCAATAAATTATTGTGCTTCAGAAATATTGCATATGTCTGTGTGTTAGTTTATATGCATATAATATTGAAAATAGTTATTGATTTCTTATGAATTAACCAAGTAAACAAATATTTCAAAACACATATAAATAGTTTATCAGATAAAATTAACTATAAAAGATAACTAAAGTATGATAAATATCAAAGTTACTAATAATTAAATAACAAATGTATAAATTCAAAATTAAAGGATGAATATAAGATTCATTCAGCCATGTTCTTTCTCAAGAGAATAGATTTAGCTGTATAAGGGACATTTTCTGACATTGTAACCAAATGAATTTGAACCGTAATTTGAAAATCATTAATGTAAATAGTTAATTCTTGAGAAATTAAGAATTGAAACTCATATGATTCAATGCTATTTCCAAAGTGATCTTTTCGTTTGCAAACAAAATACAATGAAATAAAAATTTTAAAAAAATTTTTAAGTGATCTTACTTACTGCTAGTTTTTAATTTTTCATGAAAATACCAAGTTTTCTGAAAAAAAAACTTTTACTGATTTTCAAAACCAAGAAATTAAGCCATCACAAAAACAAAAACGAAGACTGTGAAAATATTAATAAAAGTAATAAAACCCACTAAATAATTTGTAGTCAAATGTTACAATTTATTAACGGCATGAAAAGGCAATGCGTAAAATTAAAGTAAAATTAAATAAAGAATATATAGATAGAAAAAATGTTAACGCTCACAAAATCATTAGTTTAAATGGTACTTATGTACTATCACAACCATCTTTGCGCAATATGGCAAATTTTTACGGATGAAAATGTAAAAGTTACTTAGCATGTGCAAGATAGTGGCTTTCGTATGTCTGTATGATTATGGCAAAGCCTCGAGGGCTATCTGCCTAAGGGGAGGGATGCCTTCGTGGAGGACTTTCTAAGGGAAACTGGCTCGTATAAATGTTACACATGGGAAAAACCACGAAAACGCCCATGCAGCCAGCCCGTTCGCGGGATTCGAACCTCGGACCAAACTACCAGTGTTCAGCGACTTTACCGCTCGGCCGCTGGTGGGCGATAGTGGCTTCGAGTCTTCCTTTTTAGATATCTTCCCAATCTATCGATATTATAGTAAGTTTGGTAAACAGTATCAACATCGGAAAAGAAAACACACTTTAGTAATTTAAAATACAAATCTGAATTATTAAATAAGAATTATGTCGTGCGTTAAAAAGTAAAACACTCGCATTCTTCTTCGAATCTTTCAGTAATTTTCTTTATTTTAATTATTTTTTCGGTACTATTCGGTTTTGAGGGCCGTAAAAAATCGCCAAACTATTGTTGATGCCAGTGCTGCCAAAAATAATTGCTGCAACCCTAACGCAAGAAAGGAAATATAATAGTAAATAACTATTTAAGATTGATGTTTTAATTTAGATGAAAATTTAACTTCATATAATACTTTTTTTTATTATAATTTATATAAAAAAAGGCTAAATGACTGAATGGAAGCATAGAGTAAATACTATTTCAGATCATTATTATAATTTATATAAAAATTGCTAAACATAACTGAATGGATGCCTGCATCGCTATTTCGCTACTGAGTTATCCCTAAAGCATAATTTCATCACGTTGGTTGTTCAAACATAATTTTCTGTAATGAATTATGCCTTTTCTTTGAAAAACATTCTCGGTTAAAGTGCAGAATCGCCTACTTATTTGTTTGCCGCTTTTTACAAGGGTAAAAACAACTGGATTTTTGTCAATTTTCTTTTACTTTCTAAGTGAAAATAGGTCGATGTGTACATAGTAGTCAAGGGTGTGCGCAGTGCTATTTTTGTTAAATTCTGGGATTTTTTTTTACGTGAAAATGGGTCGATGTGTACATGGATACCGAGTATGTGCTATTCTTAAAAATACGTCAAGCAGTGGGTGATTCTGCACTTTACCCAAAATTCTATTGCCCACTCTTCGTCATGGGCAATTTCCAAATTGTTAAATCCATAGGATATCAAAAAAGAATTTAAAATCAAAAAAGGATTTAAAAGTTAAACTAGTATTTCAATGGCGTCTTAAGAAATATAGAACTACATAAACTTACGCAAATTGAAATCAGCGCGTACGCCTGATTTGGCGCGCTGTTAAATGGGCCCTTTGCTAGATTTGGCGCTTTTCCGCATACATCTTCGCTGAAGTTTAAGGCAAAAAAATATCACGATTTGTGTGTAAAAACCGTTGGAACACAATAAAATAGAATACTTACGAAAATGGCTGCGTTGCTTGACTAAAGTGATTGTTATTGAGCATGGTTGCCAGAAGAATGGTTATGCGTGTGGTTACCAGATTTTGGTAATTTCTGAAAATTTAGCTACTTCTACTAAGATGGTTGCGCTAGTGCGTAAGTACCGTTTAAAGTCGTTACAGTGTCAGGAAAATGGTTCTTAAGATTAATTCGGTTGCCTATCTGTATGAGAAGATCTTAGCTCAATGAGTCTTATTCATATCTTATTTTTGGTTTGGTTTAGTTTATGATGGCAAATCACACTAGGACTATCTGCCTAAGGGAGGGATGCCTTTCCGGAGGATTTTCTAAGGGAGCCTGATTCGTTTACATGTTACACACGGGAAAAACCGCGAAAGCTCTCATGCAACCAACGTTCGCCTGGATTCGAACCCAGGTCGGAACTACCAGTGTTCAGCGATTTTACTACTCGGCCGCTGGTGTATCTATTTATGGATTTACATTTGCTACTTAATTATTAGCAACTTTAATTTTTATTGTACTTTATTTACTTTTCATAGTTAATTTAATTGATTAATTATTTAAACGTATTTTGTAATACTTGTTTAATTAATGAGGAATTAAAAAAATAATCAGGATATTTTTATATTGAAATCGAGGTTGAATGAAGTGTTGCGATATCTGTGCAAAATTAAAACATTTGTGTAACAAATTTTACGATAACTTTTATTTACCTTTTGCACATATAAAATTAAAGAATTTGTTTCAAAATAATATAGTAAAGTTAAAATTAATTTAAATAATTTTCTTGCGCCATTGCTGCAAGGAATGAAATTTGAATTTAATAAACATTCTCTATTTGTAAAAAGCAAATTTAAAGTTAATTAAATTTTAAATGAAATTGAATTACAAATAAATGATTAATTATTGCTGCGAACTAATCTACAATATCATTTAAATTCAGAGAACATATGTACATCAAGTGCAAGTATCTATGAATGTATAATAAATGTATAAAATATATAATTCCAAAAAATTTTTAATCCTAAATATTTATAAAAATGCATAAGTGAATAATTGTTGAGCAGGCAGGAGACAGACTTTAAATTTGCTTTTTAGAGAGAATGTTTGTTAAATTAAAATTAAAGAATGGTAGTCTAAAAGGGCCTAAAGCAAATTTAAAATTGCGCGCTAAAGCTGCTTAAGATTTTATTTAACAAAATTTTAATAATTTCTCTTTTTAAACTCAGTTTAAACAATTTTTCCGGGATATAAACTAAAAATTCATGTTTAAATTTTCGCTGGGTGTGTAATCTCTAACCATTTCCTTTTATATCTTTTAATTGGCTGAACACCAGCGATGTCGACGATTTATGAGCTAGACAGAGAACTAATTAAAATTCGGCAAGCAACAGAACTTGAATTAATAAAATTTGATAAAGAAAACAAACAATAAAAAAACAGATACAGCTTTCATTGTCAGTCCACAATTCATATTTTTTTAAGTAAATTAAAATGCAATTTGAATTCCCCTGGTTCTGGCAGGGATTAGAAGGCTGTATACAATTTTGATACAGGAAATAAAAGCTTAAGTATATGTTTAGAGTATAATCTCTGTAACTTTGACTATAGCTGTAACCATTTTGGTAGCTTCAACAATAAATTAATTACTCTTAACTGTACTAGTCAAGATTTAACCTTTATATCTTATACTACGTACAAAACAAAAATTCTCAAACTCCAAATCTTACGCTATAACCAAATGGTGAACATTTAGATAACGACGGTCATGAGCGATCTAGGGGTCCACAAGTTCACATTTCTGGCTGCTGCTGTTTCCATCAACTCAGTTGTCTTAAACATTCGTTAATTTGTACGTTCTGAAACACACTGCAATAGAAATGAGAAACAAAAAATAGAACAAAAGCAAAATAAAATTATTTGTTTTTCAGAGTCTGTTAGATTTTGTGCTCAGGAAAACTAAAAAATTAGTTGCGCCCTTTCTAGCATTCCTGACCTTCTACTTAGAAACTCTTCACATTCCTCTACGTAAAGAGTTACTAGAGTAAGCGATACCCAGCCGACCAAATCAAGTTGGGGAAGAACTGAAGTTTTTTTGTGCCGCGCAGACAGGAAAGTGGTTAGTGACTCTGATTGCCGTACTAAAGGGCCCAGGTTTGAATCCCGAAGAAAGCATGAATGTAAATTATCCGTCGCTTCCTAGGAGATAACGGTGGGTGCCCGCTATGGGCCTGCATAATAAAATGAATCCCGCCTCTGCCCTTAGTAGTGGCGAAAGCCTAAAATGGCTAGTGTCCGGCATTAAAAAAGTGAAGTTTTCTTTTGTAAGTTTTCAGTTTCACTTTTCGGATTTCAGTAATTAGCTGAGTAGAAGTTTTATATTTTTAGGATATATATTATAATACATATTTATGAATTTGTCAAGGGGAATTTTCTAAAATTATGTTCCCAGTTAGAAATTAGGAACTAATTTTAGTTTCTCAAAATGCTCAGTAGTCTAAATTCGTAGGTTAAAATATTTAATTAGCAATTCTTACGATATTTCTATTAAAGAAGCAAACTTTTTGCTACTTTTAATCTTTCTGCTTAAAAATTTTTTAACCCAAAATTGTGTCTTGTGTTTTACAGATGGGCGGTTTGGAATCTGTTATAACAGGAATCTTGGATGAATGCAGCGTTCATTTCACAAAATGGAGTCTGAATAGAGAAATATTCACAGCTCTTGTTCTAGCCTCGTCATTTTGCGTTTCGTTAGTCAACGTAACCAGAGTAAGTTTCTTATTCTATTTCTTTGCTTTATCAGTCTTATTTGTTGCTTTCAATAGACTGTTAATTATTTACATCTTAAACGCCAAGTTTACAAAATAAATAAGTATACTTTCTTGATTTTTACTTATACAAGATAATGGCGTTTTTTCATAAAAGCCATCTGTAAATATCCATTGAATAATATAAATTCTTTAGAAATTATAATTTCGTATGTTGTGAATAAAAGCATTAAATTTTAGTTATTCTGTACGTTATATTATTATTAGTTAATATTTCGAATTTTTTTGTATTGTAACAATGCATTCTTAAAAGTACTTCCCTTTCAATCTTATGAACAGCTGGCAGATCCTAAACGATCAAAAAGACACATCTATATAATAACATATAACATAACAATAGGGCGCTTCCTTCTTATGAAAAGAAGGAAAGGAGTTTAGGCAAAATTGCCCATTACTCTTCCGCCATTTGATCATTTAAGTTAAGGGATTTAAATGGTAACTCCCGTAAAAGGTAAATAATAAATAGAAAAGATCTCAAACCGACACCAAATCTATCAGCAAAAGATCCCATCTCTAAGTTCAAGGTGTCGGCTGGATCGTAAAAACTTCCCTATTGGATGGAAAACCGATTCAATCCCTCCCAAACCACCAAACGCAATTCTTGACCAAACAAGAGTGCGATGGAGAGTCAAATAAATAAATAAATAAGGAGGGCAGAGGTGCATTCTCAAGCCAAATGGCCAGGTAGTGTATAAAGATTTGATATCATTATATTCCAAAACACAGCTATGAGAGGGAAATCCCTGCATAGTTTCTTTTAAAAAAAAAAAAAAAAAAAAAAAGAACTCACAGGGCGTCTCAAAGCTTGTTTCTTGTGGTTCCATATTCACCTTACCTGTAGGTGTTTAGTATACATCAGAAACCCTATTATGCCAGAGAGCCCTTTGTATAAAAGGGCTTGATCAAAGGTAATATAGGGAAACCCAAGGAATTTGTTTCTAGGGACAGAGAACACCGGACATCGTCCCAAAAAGTGAAAAGATGTTTCCTCTTCTTCTCCACAAGCTGGGCAGAGAGGAGATTCAACAAGACCACATTTGTGGAGATGCTTAGCTAGATAAGCATGTCCAGTAACAATTTGAATTACCTGGCGTAAGTTAGTTCTACTGAGGTGTATGAGTTTACCTGAAAAGTTAAGTGTACTGAGCACCAATTTAGAATGAGCACAGTCTGGAAGTTTAGACCATATATCATCATGTTTTGTTCTTTATCCAGCTTCTTACTTCTTTTTTAACCGTTTGATATGAAACTGGGTAAAATGGTTCTGGGCCAGACATGGGGAGTTGCGAAGCATCTTTAGCTACTTTATCAGCTAGTTCATTTCCAGCAAAATCACAATGACCTGGGACCCAGACTAAACTAATGGTATTATGGGCCTGAGCCAGAGAATTGAGATCTTGAGTACAGTTCAAAACACAGTTTTGTAACTTGACACGATTAGCCAGGGCAAGGATGGCTGATTGGCTGTCAGAGAGAATATATATATACTTATTAACTGTATTTTAGCTAAGAGCTCCTTGGCGACCATATTGATCGCCAGAACCTCGGCTTGGAAAACAGTTGTAAATTTACCAAGGTATAGATGAAATCTAATGAAATCTTCTTCAGATCCCTTGGTCCTTATAATAGCTCCAGCTCCAGTGAAGTTGGATTTGATCCATCTGTGTAACATTCAATTGAGCCTGTTGGAATTAGGTCAATTAGAGATTCTATCTCATTCCTTTTTGGTATATGAGTTGAAAATAGTTTATCTGGAACTATTGTTTTAGTAATTGCATCTTTGGGCATATAGATTATAGGGATCTCTCATTGCCCAAGTCCAGGCATATGTCAATGTGGCTTTTCAGGTGGCTTTTATGACCAAAACCTGTCCTTTGGCACCATGTGCCATTTTATTCAATCTATACATGGCTTTAATTGCTTCTCCGCTCAAGAATAATTTCAAGGGTGGAATTTGCAGTAAAAATTCTAATGCAGCAGTAGGGGTACTATTTAAAGCCCCACTAATGCTTAGGCAAGCAAGTCTTTGCACCTTTTGTAAAATATTTAAATACGAGCTTTTGTTAATAACATTAATCCAGACCACGCATCCGTAAGAAAGCATTGGCCGGACAATGGCAGTATAAATCCATAGAGTAGATTTTGGGTTAAAAGACACATCTATAAGTGCATGTCAAAAATGACGCGCCAATGCTTCCCAGCTCCTAATAGCAACTATTCTTTTTGTTTGAGTTCAGCTCATTTTTTGTATTATATAAGCGATAATTGACTTCAGGTAACAATTACCATAGTCCGGAGAAGCTTTTGTTAATATAATAAAGTCGTAAGGTCGGAAGTTCGTAACCCGGTGTGGCCGAAGTTGATTTTATCACATTCCATAGCATTGAAAAGAATCAAATTCTCAAGAATAGCATTCGATTAAAATGTGATGGACGATAATTGGTCACTGCATTGTTATTTGTTTAACTAGGTGTCCTTCATTTTTTCCTAGTTGTCTTTAAAGCGTTAAAGGAATTGTCGTCTTTTCCCCCCGTGCACGTCTTCGGGGCTTAACGGGTAGACAACCGCCTAGCATCCTTAAGATCCAGAGTTCTAGAGAGTGCGGATCTAATTTTTCACGTTTCCGAAAAGAATATAGGGAAATGTCGCATGCATGCCTTTGTAGCGTAATTGGTAACACATCCCGCTATCAACCGTAAGATCCAGAGCTTGAATCCCGGAGAACGTAGAGTTAATTTTTCATGTTTCCAGCTTAAATAGGAGGAAAAAAATAATTAAATAGTAATTAATAGCTTAAATAGAAGGAAGGAAAACCTAATAGCTCTATAGAAGCAACAGACTTAGATGTGGTGGATGACAATTTTTCACCACTTAGAACTAGGCCTATTGGATCTCTTTTCCCTATTACCAGATGCTTTTTATGTGGGAAAGAATGTAAAGAATTATTGCTTTCCCCCCCCGTGCGTGCCTTCGTAGTGTAACTGAAGCACGTCTGGCTATCAGTCAAAAGGTCCGAAGGCATATAAGCATTCCGTACCGCGCCACGTGTGCATAGAGAAAAATACTTCCTCATGATAGGACATGGCTTCAGATGACATGAGTTTCTCTACGCTGTTAGGAACACGTTTACTTTGCTTGGGCTCAGGAGTACACCTCCATACGGTTTGAAAGAAGTATCGAAAGGACTATTACTGTTAATGATGTGCGTTGTATTTTTGTTATTATGAGATTACACTTCTTACAGTACTGTAGTGTGATGAATTTAATATAAGAAAAAAAATGTAGCGATTTCCCTCCCCCTAGAGAAAAAAATATTATTTCTTTCAGTATGCTAACTCCATAAATCTTATATTGATAAATATATGTAATAATATGAGCACAAGGAAATGCCGAAGCACTGTCGAATGCGTGCTTAGATCCATATTAAAGAAGAATTTTGATTGCGTAGTATCTAAAGAACTTGGCAGTCGAGGCAGTTTTAATTCCATTTTTATTTCCAATTGATATTTGTGGCCACAATCACTTGGCACTCTACTCGTGCCTACAAAAGAACATTTTCAATTTTGATATTATTCCGATAGAAGCGAAAGTAGCAGCGCACACATAATTTCAGAAAGACGTCTAGCCAAGAGGAGAGCACAAGCAAAAAGTTAGAGAAGTATTGCGAGGCCTTCCATATTGGTAAAATCAAGAATTTTAAATGAAAAACAATAACGGTGAAACCATAATTTCTGAAACTTTTACTCCTATTACATTTATGGTGTTAAAATATTATTTATCAGTATGGAAATTAGTATCATAAATATTTATGTGCATTACATTTAATTATAAGTAATGATTATGTAAAAGTTTATTTTGTGATATTCTGTGATAACAACAACCTTCCCTGAAGAATTGCGATTATGTGAACTCTCAAACAAAAAGACCTGTGGACTGAAATGCTGAAAAATTTAATAGGACTCTAAAAATAAAAAGTTTATTTTAAAAAATTGATATTTATAAATTATACTTTACAGGGTTAAAATTTTATAATTTATGTTTTTTTTATTATTATTATTCGCTAGTGCTTTAACGCTTTTCTTTAAAAAAGCTTCTCTGTCGCTACGCCTTTTTCTTCTTGAAGGGGGGGGGAATATGTAAGAAAAATAAATAATATGTAAAAGATTAAATTAGCAACGTAAATTTCCCTTCTCAATTCTAAAAATAGTAACCTCTCTCTGCACTGCGTCATTTCAAGAAAAATCTATGTCATATGATTCTTACGTAATTATGATGATGTAAATGAAACTAAAACCCAAGCAGCCAATAGTAATTTTACAGCAATATTAACTATCCAATCAAAATGCTTTGAGAACCAGAACTAACTCAGTCTGACTTCAGATTTCATTCTGAATATTACGCACTTGCTTTCCAGACTTTGGCCTAGCTACACCGCTGTCTGTCTGCTGCTGTTTTCTGGCTAAAAAGTTATAAAAAATGTAAGCGTTTTGGAACAGGCACATTTAATGTGCCGACTAGTAACATGTTGCTAAAAATAAAAATGAAGATTTAATCTGCATTCGTCTCCAATTTCCTGGTCATTGCTTCTGAGTTTGAATATATTACAACTGAGTCTGCGCAATCAAAATTCCTGCTCCATGTATACATGTATATATCAGTAATCTCTCTACACCATCTGTTATTGAAATAAATTTCTCATGACTCAATTCTTAAAAGAATTTATACTTTAGAAGAATTTATACCGCTTTCATTCAAATGGTCTCCGCTCAGACATCTCCACTGATTCGAATAATGGAAACTTGTTATTTGTTTATAAACCAAATTCCAAGTACAGCATTTTTTACAGCGCTTGCTTTGCTTTTAATTTTACAAAATCCGAGCGTTCTATGAGATGAAAATGGAAATTTTGCGGTCAGACCCACAGCCATAATTCTGATGTTACGCTTTAAGTTTGCTTCTCTTTATTTTTAAATTCTTTGCTGAATTCTTGCTTTTAAGTAATATTACACATGCAAAGGTTTCTGCTTACAAATCATTCAGTCGCTCATAATAAAACTGAAACACGACTAGAATTGAGCATTGTAAATATTGCATTTCAGGTAGTGCATACATCCTTCAAAGTCTTCTCCTTCAGCTTTAAAAGAGACGAAATAAAAATCCCCGCTTTTCCTTCCGAAAGTTACTTTTCGACCATTTCTGTCAACGGTTCAGAAACAAATTTATAGCTGCTAGCAGCTGCTGCAAATCTTAAGTATAGATTACATTTTGGAGACGTATATATTGCACTGCCCCCTGGATTCAAAGGTATTTTACTTTTTCCCCTCCGGGAGCCCTTTCAAATATTCCTTTTCTTCTTCCTTTTCAGGGCGGTGGTTACATGATGTATTGGTTTGATACCTATTCGGCTGGGATTTCGTTGTTATGTGCTGCTCTTTTCGAAGCTATTGGTGTTGCCTGGATATATGGTAAGATGCTTTTATTACTGTACTATACGTTGTTTAAAAAGGCAACATCATGTAAACATTCTAGCGCAGCTTAAGCTACATTTTTTAATTAAACTATGATATTATCAAGGGTAAATAGTATATGATACTCATTTTTGAAATCCAGTAGTCCCTAACAGTTTAAATGGAATTAATACCAAAAAGTTAGGAGGTTAATTGTTAAGTGTCCGTTATGCATAAATACTCAAGTATCAGATGTTAAACCCCTTACCGCATTTAAAAACCTTAAGTTGGTTTGATACATTTCTCCTAGCCGGGAACTTTATTTTCTTTATTTCTATCCTTAATTTTACTGGTTTTTATGTTGGCTATCTTAGCCTTTACTTCCTTGTTTTATATTTTGTTTTACACTTTACCTCGAATAATTTGCTGAACTGTAGCATTTATGCAGATGAAGCTCAATTTCCTTTTTATTTAGCTTATAAATATGGTAAAATAAAAGTAATATTCCTTTTTTAAGTAACTTCCTTTTTTCTCACCTTCGGAGAAATACAATCGTGAACCTCTCGGCATCTCTTTAATTCTGTGTTAAAACTTCATACAGGGAATACGTACATAGATATTATATGCAGATGGAATTTTTCCAGTCGAAGAATCTGCTGAAAATACAAAACTTGCATCTGTAACATTCCGTAGGAAAGTCTCTCGTATCCTACACTTTTTATAATAATTATACAAAATATATTTACAATTAATGATCTACAAATGTTTCTCTATCTAAATGTAGCCCAATAGCCTAATAACATAAAGAATAAATCTGTATATCAAGGAAATTATATCACACGCATATCAACAAAATGAGTAATGAATTTTGAAGCTAATTTTTCATGGCATGTACAAAAGTCTGTAGATCTTACAAAATTGCTTTTAAAATTAAACAAATAAATTTAACAGGGACTCTTAAAATTGCTTTACCATGAAGGTGGCACGTAGCAAACGTCAAATTTGCGTGAAAATTACTACATGCTGCAATATGCAAATGATTAGCCTTCCATCGCGTGCACACAAAGCACATATGATTAACTCCATCTGCATTGTGTATAAATGAGAAGATATTACAGTGAATACCTCTTACAAGAAGGAGAAAGTCATATCGTACTGCAGTTTGTCGTTCTGAGACACAGCTGCCCGTGTTGGTCGGCATTCCATGACTGTCTGCAGCCGCCCCAGGCCACTAATGCGACTTTGCGTGATCTTACAGCTACGTCACATACCGACTTGGCTTGTGCGTAGTACGACAAGTTCCCGCACAGATAGTACGACGACGTCTGCTGCACCACGGACTTTCAGCACAGAGACCATTGTTGCGGCTTCCTTTGAAGCCCCAGCAGAGACAGACGCGCATACCATGGTGCGACGAAAGATGATACTAGACAGAGGAGTCTCACCTCGTAATCGTTTCAGACGAATCCTGTTCTGCGTGCAGCAAAATGATGGCCTTATTTATGTGTGGAGGTACCAAGGAGAATGAACGCCGCCAGCTTCATAATGGGCCCGTCACCTGTAGTGCTGGTAAGAGGTGCCATGAGGTACAATGTCCGCTCACTTCTTGTTCGCTTAGTCGATAACGTGGACAGCCGCCATTACATTTCTGGAGTGATAAGTGCTGTACCCTATCTTCGAGGCCTGCGTGACACCTTCTTTCAACAAGATAATTCCCTACCGTATATTGTCCATGCTGTCCTGACCTTCCTCGATATAGAGGGTGGTCAACTGTTACTCTGGCCAGCCCATTATCCACATCTCTCAGCTACAGAGAACATTTGGTCATAGATAACTGAGAGGCTGGCTTGCCACCAGTCGCCAGACACTATGATTGATGAACTCTGGCACATAGGCGAAGATGCATGAAATGAAGTAGTCGTATCTTTCATCCAGGTTCAATTCCTCAATGCCCAGCCGGGTTATACCGTTGTTTCTGCCAGAAGTAACTCTATGTACTAAATTCTGCACACTGTGTACCCCAAAACACTTGCAAACGTAATTATGTCTTCCTCCCATTATATTTGATATATTATACCCGTGCCTCTATTATACTATATCTATTATTTTCGACATCTAACAACTTTCTTAGCATGTGTTCCTTCGCCCTGAGGAGAAGAACCTAAAAGTTGTGATAAGAAATCTTGCCATTGATGCGGAACCCATGGACATTCAAAAGGAGCTCCGTGAAAAAGATTTCACTGCACTCAAAGTGGAGCAACTTATGAATGGCACAAGAGAAGATAGGGCTAAAATGCTCCTATTTCTGGTCACTCTTCCTAAGACTCCTAGAAACTCTGAGATATACCATCTAAAATATCTAATGCACTTGCACATTAAAGTCGAAAGACGTCATGGTCGACGTGGGCCGAAACCATGCTTTCGATGCCAAAGCTACCATCACGCGCAGGCGGCGTGTCATCACCCGCCCCGCTGTTGTAAATGTGCAGGCCCCCCATGACAGCCGGTATGTCCCGGAACCTAAAGATTCTGAGCCGAAATGTTGTAACTGTCTCGGAAATCATACCAGCAACTGGAGGGGTTGTGAGGCCTTCCCAAAGCAGAAACCCAATGCCCCAAGTTTGAAGAAAGAATGAGTATCAATAAATTTTATGTTCAGGCTGTAAAATCTGATGTTTTCGCTGGGAAAATTCAAAAAGCTGTAGCGGACACTCAGCAGGTCATGAAGAATATCTCTGATCATATGACGCTTTTACACAATACAACTACCATAGCTGAAAAGCAAAAGTAAAAACACAATGAGGCCCGAAACTGAGATAAATTATGGATCGTAGGTCCTTATTAAAATGGCCCCCGTGACGATCATGAAGTGGAAATGAGCAAAACATTACCACCAAAATTAGTGAACTGCAAGATTTTCTCCCACACTACAGCATTGACATTGCAGTAATCACTGAGACACACGCTACGCCAGCACAGTTCCTGCGTATTGCTAACTACCGCAGTTATTGCTGTGATAGGATCAGACATAGAGGCGGAGGTGCCTTAATCTATGTCAAAGGGAGTCTGGACTCCTACGCTTCTGACAGTTCTCACGGATTTTGAAGAAGTCAAGGTAGTCGCACGTATCTCTAATTGTGGAAATATGATTGTATGCGCTCTTTATAATATTTCAGATCTCAGGCTGCAAGATCAACACTTACGTAATTTACTAAATAACCCCTTTCCCACCATAATTGGAGATGATCTTAATGCTAACCACGTTAGCTGGGGATACCGCAAAACAAATAAAAAACGGTGAAATCTTTCAAGACTTCCTGCTCAATTACCCACACTACATTTGCCCCTCCCCAAAAAATTTTACTTTCCGGCCTACTCACCCAAGACAATATCCAGACATTCTGGATCTTTTCCTCACGTCTGATAACTTGCCGATCACTACGGAAGTAATCAATGATCTTTCTTCAGATCACATGCCAGTACTGGCACACCTAGATGTTAGCAGGCCTCAATCCAATCCCACATACAAAATTATTAATTGGGACAAATTCAAATCTGAAATCAAAACAGGACTACTTTAAAAAACACATGATATCGACTAGGCCATCACAAACATCACCATCTGCATTGATAAGGCATTACAAAATTCTACTACAGAAATTATTAATAAAAAACATCTCTTCAGACTTCCTCAAGAAATTAAATAAAGTAGCGAATCCCGAAATAGACTCCGCAAGATCTTCGCCCACTCACGTGACCCGGCAATTAAATCGCAAATCAATAAAAGCAATCGCAATATTAAAAGCTTAACTGACTCCCACCGGACTAAACTTTGGAATTAAATGCGGAACACAGAGAATTCTGGAAGTCCCTCCATTTAGTTAAGTCGACAAATACAAGCAACAAATCTCTACAGAATGACGCTGGATTCAAATACAGCAACGAAGACAAAGCAAAAGCTTTTCCAATCCACTTCGCCAAGCAGTTCACTCCAGATGAGACCCCTTCAGGCCAAAATTTCATTAATCACATTAACAAGTTTCCTGTTTTCACCTCTCCCACAAACGTTATCTCCATTATAGCTAAATTTTATAATAGAAAAGCACCTGGGTAGGACAAACTCTCTAATTAAATGATTAAACTTCTGTCTGGTAATTTCATTAACGAACTCTAGCATTTACAACGCCTGCCTGTACCTGTGCTATTCCCTAGCTAAATGGAAACAAGCGGTTATCATCTTAATTCCCAAACCCGTGAAAGATAATACAAGAGTGGATGGGTTTCACCCATTCAGATTGCTTCCTGCACCTAGGAAAGATCCTAGAGAAGATTATCTACAGAAGACTACAACCAGCCCTAAACGCGCTTACAAACCAGTAGTTTGGATTCCGTAAAGGGCTGTCTATTACCACGCAGTTTGTTAGAATCGTGGAATTTATAAGCGCAGCTATTCATAAGCAATGGACAACTACCTTCCTTACGCTGGATGTGGCAAAAGCCTTTGACCCCATCTGGCATAACGGACTTACCTACAAGCTTTCTTCTCTCAATCTTCCCAGGGAAAACTATTCTGATTCTTCACTCCTTTCTAAGTGATAGATCCTTCTATCCTTCTGGGTCAGGGAAGGCGATGTTTATTTTGAAAACACATTAATTAAAGCCAGCGTCCGCCAGGGAAGCATTCTTGGGCCTAATCTCTATCTTATATAGGTTAAGGACTTTCCTATGGTTGAAAATCCAAACTGCATCACCGCCTGCTACGCGAAAGATACCACTATTCTTTCCAGTTCACTTAATCCACGGCGTGCCATGACCAGAATACAAAACACATACGAGAGAGAGGAATGTTGTTGCAAATGGAGGACGTCCATTAATGCCACAAAATCCAAATTATTACTCATAGCACGGCACAGAAGAAAAAACGTTGATGGGGATCTGACCCCCTTTAATGAAACAGCATATAAAGTCAGACAGGCTACATACCTGGGAGTTCGTTTTAACGGTTCTCTTACATGGGATCCTCACATTTCTATGGCCATCGGGAATGACTCTAGGGAAGTCTCTAGGGACATCGGGAGTCTCTAGGGAAGCTCCGAAACTTTCTTGACACCTCCTCACAATTGGATCTTGCTCGCAAGAAGCACATTTACACATCATTATTAAGACCCATAATTACATATGCCTCCCCTGCATGGTGCTCTGTTCTCACCTCTGGATTAAATAAATTGCAGGTTTTCCAAAACAACTACTTACAAAAAATCACAGGAGCTCCCTGGTTCGTTCGCAATGAACAGCTACACAGAGACTTTAAACTCCAAAGTCTGGCATCATTCACCAATAAATTAAACAATAACTTTTTCAACAAAGCTATCACCAACACGGAGGTAAATTATTCAGACAATTTTAAGTACGAGCTCCTAGAAACAGACATCAATGTAAGGCCCTATGGCAACCTACACTTATCGGAATCCCCCGTAAATATTTTTAATTTCTTCCACACGAGCAGCATTTCAAGCAGCATTTCGGGTTCAGCACTTGGGTAGCTGATCACCAGCGTGACTGATGCCCGCGAATCAGTACATTTACAGCAAGCTTCTCTAACTACTAATTTGCTCTCTGTTGAACAACAGATTTCAACTACACATAAATTATTTGCCCTCCCGTTCATGGCATTTTCATTTACACTGGCCTGGGCCACATCTGTACAATCTTCCTGCAGTTCCTTATCAAGGTATTCTTGCGAAGCACTGTTATGTTATATCTCCCCTAACCGGGGTTATTTGAGGTGCCTGTAATAGCAGGATATAATTCCTGCTGAAACAGGCATAGTAAAAGTATCAAAATGTCTATTATACTGTATATGTACAATAAATAAGATTCCGATATTTGCTTTTCTTCCTGGTGTAGCAATTTTAATGGCCAGCAGTGTAAACCTCTGCTAAAGTAATCAGCTTGCTTGTGATTTAGTCTTTAGAAAAACTGTTAAGCCTTTTTGTTATATTTTCATAAATTTTTGACTGATATTTTCACTACCCTGCTTACATATTCTTAAAGGTAAGATTCTTAATTTACCACACATATTTTCATAAAGGGCTTGGATTGCAAATGTACTGCGTTGCGTTAAACTATATGCGCAACTAATGCTTGCGGACTCGTATAAATGTTTCTCCGATAATTGTATGCAACTCTTATTATGGGCTAGTATTTAAGAGATTTACTTAACCATTTCTCTTTTAGGTTTGGATAGGTTTTGCGACAATATACAAGAAATGATGGGATTTATTCCTGGTTTGTTTTGGAGATTATGTTGGAAAGTAATCAGTCCATTTTTCTTAGTTGTAAGTATGTTTCTACTTTAGAATCTGTTTGCTAATAGGAACTGAAGCTCTTTTTTCCACTGCATCTCTGTTTGCATTTCTCAAATAATCATTCTAATAAAATTTAAATTAGATGGGAAAATAATAAAACTCACAACTTTATTGACAACGTAACAATTTTTCTACTTAAATGCTAAGAACTGCCTATTGTAATGCATTCAATGGATAAAGATGGTTACGAAGGTTGTGTCTTTTGAGGAAATGTCTTAAGATATGTCCATTAAATTGCGCTTTCGGAGTACTGTATATTGCTTTCTTCACGCGGAAAGAATGCTATGGTGGTACTGAACATAAAAACATTCTTATGCTGCGATGATTTTCTTTCCACTAATTTGAGAATAAACAGCGCATCTAAATTTTTAGCTTTGGCTAAAGTTATCGAATAATTTGTAGTTCTGCATTAAACCTGAAGAAAATGACGTTAATCAAACTGGACAGTTTTCGTCTAATTTATAACGGCACACATTAATGGATGGAATAGATGGATTAATATGGAATCAGTCTCGACACTGTGGGTTCAGAAAGTACTCTAAAACACTTAACTTGGCCTTGTTGAGTAAAAATCCGAATGAGCAAAATTTTTAAATGAAAATAGAAAGTTCTTCCTTTCGAGCAGATACTCCACAGCAAATTTACTGAATTAGATCATTCTCCAGTGCGTACTACAATCTTAAATTCAAGATTTTCAGAACAAATTTAAAAAGAAACTGCAAAACAAAAGGGGCTTCGGTTCGCTGATTTCCTTTTGTATAAAACAGCATTCATCTTTAGAATTGTAGCTGGTCCTTTTATTTTTGTGACCTTTATTAAGGATTGTTTCCATTAGTTAGATATTATGTGTTTTATAAAATTGCAATAATCATACGTAGCGTATTCGGGAGGTAAAAAGAAGTAAAATGCCATTGGGATGGTTTTGTTACGTCAGGTAAAATGCACCTAAAAGTCTGTGACGTTACTTCCGCTTGAGAGAATGAAAGAACACTGACTAATTACCTGTAATATTCTCTTTGTCTGCAAAATGCCCGAATTGAAACCCTCAAATTTCTTACGAAACGTTGTGAGCGCTATTGTATGCGAGGGGTTCTTGAACACTGGAAACGAGCTAATTCAGTTATCCTTCAAGAACATTTGGATGAAACCAGGCATCTTTGAACGTGTCAGACAGTCTATAATCCAACGATGCAATATTGCTCGCACTGACATCAAAGGTTAGCTATTTGGGCACTTGCTATAAAGTACATCCTGCTGGGACACAGCATGCGACATCCGTCTATCTATACAAAGAAATATGTATTGTAACAAAGTAATATATATTACATATTTCACTGTGTGGTATGACGACCTATTGTGTGATATGTGTACACCTTTAGTTAAACTTTTACTAGCAAGAGTCCTTCAGTTCCGCTATCACCAGGCCGTGCTTTCACATGCCAGCCATACTTATTCTCAGATAAGAGTGACTTTCCCGGATAGACCTTACTTTAGCCCGTTTGTTTTCGGTTATCCTGTATCCATGCGGTTTTCTGCACTCATTAAATACTACTGACATTCGCAAGCGTTCATCCGAAATGTAGATCTGTAAATATGTTCCTCATATTTCACACGCTCGACAACATCACGGGAATCCCTTCATTCGCATGCCTAAAGTAACATCGCAGGATTTGAAGTCCCAAAAGTCTCCTGAAAGAAAGTGCATTATGAAACCATTCCAAAGGCATTTTGTTTCGCTTAATCTGCCATGTATGCTACTATCTCATTTTTTTTCGAGATACTTTGTATATATACGGGTATGTATTATTATGTGAATGCAAAAAAACACGGAAAAACATTTTGCCAGGGTGTTATTTCTACATAAGTATATAATTGTATGCGTATGTCCATACATATATACCACGATATATGTGTAGAATGTCCCATCAAGACCACCGAGACTCTCCACAGGCAGAATCCCTGCTTAGAATACATAAAAAGTGGCCATATATTTGTACTTGTACGACCCATAGTTTTCGAGATGAGTGAGAAAGAAAAGTATGATGGCATATGCAGTACAAGGACAACAAGACTTTATTAGAAACAAGGAACATCAATATTTGCATATGTTTACATAGGAAGATGTTCAAAATGTCCACCGCGCATATCGAGGTATGCATACGCATGCCGTGGAATGATGTCAAGCAATCGTTTGAATCGTATTTAAGCTACCGGTAATCTTCGCATGGTGATAATGTGTTCCGCTCGTGAGTACTGCACCATGTACTTTGTCTTCGGCTAATGCCTTATGAACTGCTAAGGAGTATGACCGTCACTTTCATTACACCAATTCTCCTGATGCTAAAGCCACTCACAGATTGGATGACAGACTGAAAAATACTAGAAACGCCCACCCGACACATAATTTACACAATGTTGGTGAAAGAACGCACGGCAGGCTTAGACCAGCACAGGAAGATGCATTACTTCGGAGGATGGAAAAAAACTGCAGAGTTGAGTACACACACACTAGCCAGAGAACTGAATAGGAGTAACAGTTCTGTGCACATACTGTTAATGTCACACTGGCTATACTTATTTCGCTATACGACTATGCAAGCTCTATATCCAGGTAACCTTTCAGCCACGCATTGACATTTGTGAATGGCTATTTCAACAACATGAAGTTGATAATGCCTTCATTGCGCATATCTTGTGAACAGATGAAGCATGTTTCACACATATTAGGCAATCGCGTGAATGAACCATATCTCCTGCCTGAACGGCTTAGTTCAGTTCTCGAAATTTGAAGTTCAGGTTCTGAATTAGCGTTACGCAAGCCGTGCAAATGGATTGATTTAGAAATGATGCAGTTCAGAAAAGTTATTATAATTTTTAGAATAGAAAGGAATTAAGAGCTTACCGCTAGTTTAAATTATAATTTTGATTTACATATTTTATCTTATCTGTTTATATCAATGCATAAGTGAAAATACAAGTCGAAAATAATGTCAAATATCCCAGATTTTGAAATTAAATACTTGCAGAAATTTCTGTTGTACGAGAGTCCAACTTGTTATGTTTTGTTTTTTATAATCAGTATAAACTTTTCCTAAATATAACTGTAGGAATTGTATAAATAGTTAGTTTTCGTAAGATTTAGAAAAGTGAATTTTTTTAAATAAAAATTGCCAAATTATGAATATTTGTGTCATTTGAAATATTTTGGTAACTGGAAGTGTAAGTCTACGATCAACGCTTGAGAAAATAAAGGCCGGATAAGAACTTTTATGGGCACTGTGAATGTCTGTTACTTTGCAGTAATGTCTTCTCCATATCGCTGTTATTTATAAAATAATATGCATTAATAATAGTTTTTAATATTCCTTGCTTTAATTTCAGGCTGTAATTGTATCTGCCATCATCAGCAACACTACACTTCAGTACCAAGATTACGTTTATCCTCCTTGGGCAGTGGGATTAGGTTGGGGTTTTGCTCTCTCTTCTGTAGCTATGGTTCCCATTGTTGCAATCTACAAACTCTCAAAAGCGCCCGGAAACACTTGTTCAGAGGTAAAACATAAAGCAATTTCGCTAGTAAATTAAAATCTAATAAACTAGAATAAGACTTTATTGCAATTAGAATAAAAATTGTCACAAACAAGCAAAAAATAAGCGATAATTTCTTCCTTGTTTGCGTTAATTTTTACACTGAACTACCCTATTTGTTTAGTATTAAATTATATGAAGTTATTTTTCTATAGTGTTTATAGATTTATTAATGAAGATTTGTGTATGTCACTTATTTCGTGCTTATCTCACAGACTGTGATAATTTTGATAACTATGCTCCCGAATGTTTTTAACAGAAGGTCAGACGCGGATTTGTGAGATCGCAACGGTAAATTTTCGCAAAAATCGCCTTCCAAGTTTAAGCTAATAACTTTTTAAACAATGTCTTAAAATGAGAACACAAGAAGTTCAAGTCGGGTGGGCCACCAATATCATGAATTTGCCGCAGCAGTAAGGAGTCGTACGGGGAAAAACGTTTAACACAAAAACATAAAATTAAGAGAGTAAACAGTAGTTAGTTACTGAAGATAAACTATTTCAACTACCAAAAAAACGTGAAGTGCCCAAATCTGAATACCGTATAATATTTTAAATTGACAATTAAATTTAAAGGAGGCAACCTTTAAATTTAGCGCTTTTCTCTCTCTCTCTTTTCTTGTTTTTTAACTTGTTCGCAATTAATTTACAGCAGAGGCCCACCAGCGGCCGAGCGGTAAAGTCGCTGAACACTGGTAGTTCGGTCCGAGGTTCGAATCCCGCGAACGGGCTGGCTGCATGGGTGTTTTCGTGGTTTTCCCCATGTGTAACGTGTATACGAGCCAGTTTCCCTTAGAAAGTCCTCCACGAAAGGCATCCCTCCCCTTAGGCAGATAGCCCTAGTGTGCTTTGCCGTAATTAAAATACAAATACACAATTTACAGCAGAAGAAAGGAAGAAAGTAAAGGTACAGTTTCAACGCTCCTTATAAAATCACTTCGTATTTATATCTATAGTGTATTCTTTGAGGTAGATAATATTTGCCGTGTCTTCTTTGAGGTAGTTAAGTGGAAGAAGAGAGGATTCTAAGAAACAATTTCAACACTCCCCATTTACAGATTTTAACCCAAAAGAGGCTATAAATCTTGAAGTATGATTTTGCGTCAGTACACTCTAAGCGGCCCATTACTTTTCAAATTGTTGCCACCAAATATTATCGCCCAGTATTATTTTTAAAGAAATTAAATAATGAAGGGAATATGTATGCTCCTCGCATTGTGAATAGTGAAGTGAATGTGTATGTTCCTCGCACTGTGAAAAAATGATGGTACCTAGAGCCATCAAATTCTGAATAACGTAATCCTCCATGCGAATATGTATGTGCGTCTGGATGCACAAATTTTGAATTCATTTTGTTGCTTATTTCTTATTTTGTAAAACTTTAATGATTTTTTTTTATTAACAAACTCAACGATTTAAAAGCGAGCAGTGGCAACTTTGTTCGAAATATAACATTTTTATCTCCAGCACGCAAGATTGTTACCATTCAAAAATACGCAAAAATATATATCTTTCAATTTTAACTAACAAACTCGGCTCTATGAAAGCAACGTATTGCCGCGACCGGAAATAAAATACTTTTATTTTTCACCCGCCAGCGTGTTGCCATTCAGTTAAGCCTCAGATAATTCCAAAATTAATCTGGAAAGTTATTGAGTAATAATAAATTAAGCAATTTAGAAGCAATAAACATAGTTCTTAAGAATATTTTTTTTTTTTTACTTTTAAATGTGATTCATTTAAATAAAGGTGTATTAAAATCATGAGATGCCTAATTAGAAATATTCAATATATATATGAAATTCATTCACTCATTGAAATCATTATATATGTATATTGTTACGAATTTGGTATTTAAAAAGCTAATGTTAGTTCAATTATAAATTAAATGGTTTTATTTCCGAGCGAGCAGTGCAGCGTGTGACGAATATTAAAAAAGAAAGCTAAGCCGAAAATTGAAAATACAAGAGCGCGTGCATTAAACATTTAATAAATATCTCTTTTTGATTTTGAGAAAGTACTAGAAAATTCTCGCGCGCGATTTTAAAATCTTATAAAAGGAGGAAAACCTCTCAGTTCGTAGTAGTTACTTAGTTTGTTGTTGTTTAGAAAACTGCTCTTGTTGACTGTAGCGAATTCGCGGATTAGCTTTCTTTAGCTGTTTTGAATTAAGTTCTAATGAACGTTTGAGTAGTAAGAAGAAAACTGCTGTGATATATTGTGATACTGCACGATTATATCAGGACATTTAATCATATGTGTTGTGATAATAATAAATTTTCTTCATTTTTCATCGGACGTGTGCATTCATTTCGTAACGAACCCGTACGCACCCAACAATATACATTGCTTTTTTATGATGCAGCTAGTATGTATGGCAAACTCTTAACACTCTTTCTGGAATTCTAAAGATATATGCCATCGGGAATTATACACGTGGGCTGTTATACTGTCTTTAAAAATTTTATGATTTGCAGTTGAACTGTATGTAGTGTAAGTGCGAATTAAACTATGGTTAATAGCAAAGCTAGAAAAACAAAAAAGAGAGAAAGTGGGTTATCAAGACGTGAGTGCAAGAGCAAACTGGTAGCCTGCGAGCTTAGCGAGAACGTAAAATACCTTTACAAACTTTTTCGGGCAACTATAAAAATCTGAAACCTTTAAGAATATTTTTTTAAGTTTCGGATAAGATCATGAAGGTCACATAAACTTCTTCTCAAAGTACATTTTAATTCACCTGCTTCTTTTGTTCTGGAATATAGAGACTTGCATGATTGCCGACCTGCCAAGCTACTCGCAGCAAGGAAATGGAATTGGAGTTGGGGGGAGGAATCCGTTATTTATTTATATTCAGCAAAAGAAAGCAGAATCTTCTCGTGTATCTATACAAAGAATGAATTTGGTGAACCTAGTTAGACTTGAATAATTAGCCAGATTATCGAGAAATAAAGGATCTGTTCCCTTTAGCTGCCCTGTGAAACAATCGGGCATTGAGGTGAAGCCACGGGCTAACACTCCTTATAAATGTATTAAATTAAATGAGGAGATGTGTAAAGTGTTAGTCATAGAAAATTAGATTAAATATCTTGCAGAATGTTTCAGGAAGATTACATCTTCGAATATTTTTAAACAATTACTTGCATAATAATGGCTTTATTTTAAGAAATGTATCAAATAAAACAGGTCTTCAAACTAAACCAGTCTGAGTTACTTGGCATCTTTTAGTGAAAAGAAAATTTTTAATTTTCAAATAAGCCTTTCACGTATAAGGTTATAAATTCTACATTGTTCGTTACATTACTAAAGATCTAAAAATTTACCACTTTTGTAGTATATAAAATCGTCCTTGAGAAAACTGTCATATTTATATGGCTTCTGTTGCTTTCAGCCACCGTAAAGGACACAAGGTCGATCTTAAGAATATAGTAAATGATGAGTTTTAATAAATAAAAAAAAATCGAAATTTCGCATTTAAATAAAGGGAAGTTGGTAAATATTTGTAATAACGGGATATTTCTCCAGGAACAAAGCATTCTTCAGAAAAATAAACCGTTCAAAAACTTGGATACGTAACTGTCATTAGCAACAACCGTATACCGCCCCCAACTACCCACCGGGATCTTAATTGTAGCTGATACTGTAATTGGTAATTTGGAAATGAGTAATTTATATACACTCTATAACAAAAAAAAATTCGATGCGCCAAGAAGGAGTTGTCCGATGGAGACAAAACTTGGTGGATAGGTAGATTATGTACAGAATGGAAAATGATTAAATTTTCAGAACAATTGAGTGATTTATTTCAGAGTTACATAGTTACAAAGTAACGAGCTCAGTAAGATGTTGGCCCACCTCTAGCCTGGATGCTAGCTGCCAAACGGCGTGGCATAGATTGATAAAGCTCAAGGATGGTCTTCTGCGCTTTTTCTTGCCGAATTTGCTCCAATTTCCGGCTAAGTTCATTAACATTACCTGGTAAATGCAGTCGCCTTCCCATCATATCCCAGACATTCTCGATGGGAGTGAGATCTGGCGATCTGGCTGGCCAAGGAAGTGTTTGGCAAGCTGTAAGACATTTCATAGCAACACGTGCGGTATGTGGTTTGACATTATCTTGCTGAAAAATAAGGCCAGGGTACTGCAAAAAGAACGGTAGCAAGACAGGTCTCAGAATGTCGTCGACGTACCGCTGTGCTGTAAGTGTGTCTCTAATGCCGATCCGGCTATCAAGGGAAATGGCACCCCAGACCATAACTCCTGGTTGAGGGCCTGTGTGGCGCGCGCTAGTGAAGCAGAATCGGCACGCTGCTCTGGGCGTCTCCAGACACGTCTTCGATGTTCGTCATGACGCAGTTGGAAGCGGCATTCGTCGCTAAAGACTATACGTCCCCCGTCAGCATCATTCCAACCTGGTCGAGCCAAGCACCACTATAATCGGGCTCGAGAGGGCGCAGGCGTGAGTGGCAGGTGGTGTAACTGTCGGTACGAGCGTAGATTTCGTTCTATCAGCCGTCTGTAAATGGTCGTGGTGGACACTCGTGTGCGAGTCCCACGTCTGATGGTTGATAGAGGTGAATCAGGCGCTGTGACACTTTTGACATTTGACAATCACTCTGTCCTCTCGATCTGTTGTGACCCTACGTCGACTGCTACCATCATGACGCTGAAATCTGTAATTGTCCGCCCGTTCTTGCCAGCATCTTCTAATCGCCTTCGACTCATATGACGAGCGATTCTCCGAATTGCCCAACCTGCCTCTTTCAATCCAATGATTAGACCTCTTTCACACTCTGACAGTTGCTCGTAATGAGCTCGAATCCTGCGGCGAGACATTTTTTCAGTCGTTGAAGGGTATCCTAAATCGCATTGCAATAGAACTTATATACATCTGCTGGATGCGTAGTTTAAATGCGCTGGAGATCGCACTATTCATTCACTGGACACCAAATTTCAATCATTTGCATA